TTTGTCATGACCTGGGGAGCTGGTGCTGCCGGCACCTGGTTGACAGATGCCAGCAATGCCGCAGTGCAGAGATCGGGCTGACCATGCACTGTGCAAACACCACGAGGCCGCAGCTGCAGCGATCAAGTGCCAACTGCAGCAACTTAACGCCTTAACACGCGCAGCGGAGGAGAAAACAGCTGAGGACGTAGCACTCAAATTTGACGCGCTACACTTCCACAAGGAGCTCCCCGCAAGGGCCCTCACCCCATCAAGGGTCAACAGTACGGACAGCCAGGACCTATCGGAGCGAAACACGGGAAATGCATGTGCTCGGCAAGCTCACGGTGACGAGCCAGTCCTCAAAAGCACGCCACGCCAGGCACTCGGAAGCCACGTCCCAGTGCTCACTGACTGTATCTGGCGTGTTTCTCTCCTAGGACCCGGATCCCCGGTGAAGGAAGGCCTTGGCACGCCCAGATGCAAAGCATCGCCTGAGCTGAGTCACTGCGAAAGGAGCCCCTTGTCACCCACCCAGGCACACAGGTAGCCGAAAGTCCCCGGAGTACAGCCGAGAGCCCCGTTCGTTTCCTCCAGGTGTGTTGGAGGAAAAACTGCCCTTCTTCAGAGCGAGCAGGAAAAGGGCCCCAGAGGAGTGGGGGCAGGGGCTGTTCCCAACACTGAGACGGGGGTGGGGCGAGAGTCGGGACCACAGCAACTGGGCAGGTCTTCAACGAGAACTGACTTCTGCCACGAGCAGCCCCTTGCGTACCCAGTTTCAATTCAAGCCCTGCAAAATTGAGTACCCACAGGGGGCCCAGGCAGGGGGACCTGGCGCAAAGAGGGGCTTCACTCCCTCACGCCCCACTGAGGGATCCTCGAGGAAGGCTGAGAAAAGGCACCTCGGAGAGCCTGTCTGGCCACTGGGAAGAGTGAAAAGCAGAAGCCCGGGGCAGAGCTGGGCCTGTGTGAGACCCCAGGGCTCTTGTTGGGCTTGTTTCGGTTAGGTTTGGGCCACACCTGCAGATGCTCGTGGGCTGCTCCTGGCTCTGCATTCGGGAGTGACGCGGGCCGTGTGCAGGGTCGGGGGGTACCAGGGACGCCTTAACCCCCGTGCCATCTCCGTGTGCCCCAGTTTGATCCCTGGCACCCCTCCCTCACCACCTACGACAGGAGACAGGCCACAGGAAGCAAGGGAGCAGAAGCCCCTGTGCGGAGGCTGCAGCCGCTGGCTGTGTCTGTGTCGGGGGCACAGGCAGGAGTGCAGCTGCGGCTTGCTCAGGGGGGCACACGCCCGCTCCCCCACCGCACGCTCCCCTACTTCCCAGAAACACAGAGCGCACAGACTCCCCGTGACTGTCTGGAACCCACGTGGCCCAGCGGTCCTTCCCGTGATCCCCGACCACAGGCAGGCCTTCCTAAGACGGGCTCCGCGTCCACTCCCCCAGCTTACATCAGCTTTAAGGTTTCACAAATATCACACAGAGCGCTAGAGATATTACAGCTGGAAAAATAACTGACTGGAAAATGAGAACAGAGGCCAGGGTCGGTGACGGTGTGTGTGTGCGTACGTGTGTGTCGTGTGTGTAGAACTGAGGCCAGGGGTGATGTGCGCACGTGTGTTTGTGTGTGTGTGTGTGTGCGTGTGCACCTGCATGTTTGTGCATGTGTATTTGTGTGTGTGTGTGTGTGCGCGCGTGCGCCCGTGGTTGTTGAACTGAGACCAGAGTAGGGGCTAATGCATGTAGGGGCTAGTGCGTGCAGGGGTGTGCGTGTGTGTGTGCGTGTGTGCATGTGTCTTGTGTGTGTGTTGCATGTGTGATCTTGCTTATGTGAGGCCCTGGGTCCAAGCCTCACAGTGCCACAGAACAAACCTGAGTGGCTGGCCAGGAGATGGAGGAATAGGTTAAGTTGTTCCCTGTATGCAGGAACCCTGAGTTCGAGCCCCAGTACCACATGGCTGCCCGAACACCATCAGGAGAAGCCCCCCAGCACAGCTTTACACACACACACACACACACACACACACACACACTCACACTCACACACACACACACACCCCGAAGGGGAAAACACACCCCAGAAGTGCAGAGAGGTCACCACAACTGGAGAAGGGGGAGATGAAGTGATCACAGACGCTGTGGGTCCCCCCCCTCCCCAGCTCACCCGCAAGCTTCCCAGGGGAAACGGCCTCTGAGCTGAGTCCTCAAGGATGAGGAGAAAGAGACAGTGGCCAAGACAGGAGTGAGACTCTCCCACGCAAGAGCCAGCAGGGAGGCCCCAGCGGACAGCAGGGCCTTAGGGCCGGGGGACAGGAACAGCCCTGCCCAGGAGGGGCCCCGGGGGCTCAGTGCTGGGTACACACCCAGCACCGGAGACTGGGCCAGGCTGCAAAACACCAGCTTTCCTGGTTCCTCTGACTATTCTGTGTGGAACCAGAGGTAAGACGGAGCCTGCGCCATGCCCCCTCGCCCGTGGGCGCTGCTCTGAGGCGGGGGATCATATCCAGAAACAGCAGGTGGGATTCCCTACCAGGCTGATCCCAGGAGTCCCGAGGACGGGGTGGCCGAGAGCAGAGACAGCTGGACGGCTCCCCGCCCCACACCCTCAGAAATGCACACCAAGAGGGCAGAACTAACTCGATGCACCGTTTCTAAAACGTCATCTTAGAGTTTTGGAGTCAAAACACGCACACGCACACGCACACGCACACCCTGGGAAATGCAGTGTCCATCTTTTGCACCTCAATCTGGAGCGGCCACACTTCAACCGGAGCAGGCAGCTCTGGAATGTACCTTGGAAAGTGCTTCGTAGAGCACTTACGGCACTTTTCTCATTTTTCATCGGCCAGTGTGTGTTTTCTAATTTATAAAATTCACGAACTCAAGTTTCTGAGCAGAGGCGGAGGGTTGACACATGGAGAACGTCCTTTTCCAAAGGGTCGTCGAGAATCCCCTACTAAAATCGCCGGCTGTGTGTGAACACACGTGCGTGTAAGGCCTTGGCCCGTGTGCAAATGTCCACGGAGTAGAGGATTAACGTAGGTGAGGGCTGGAGGGGCCGGGGGGTAAGGCACGTGCCATGCACACAGCTGACCCAGATTCCCTCCCCAGTGGCCCTCTGAGCACCACCAGAGGTGGTCCCTGAGCACAGAGCCAGGAGTCAGCCCTGATTGCAGCCCAGCCCACAAACCCTCACCCCAGATCCAAAGGGGGGGATTATTTTTTCTTTTTTTATTAGTGAAACACCATGAGGTACAGTTATAGGCTTACAAATTTTGTGCTTGGGTTTCAGTCACACCATGATCAAGTGCCCATCCCTCCACCAGTGCCTGTCATCCATCACCACGGGTCCCAGCATCCCCCCCACCCCCCATCCCCCCGTCCCATCCTGCCTCTGTGGCAGGGTATTACCCCTTGTTCTCTCTCTCTTCTTTTGGGTACTGTGTTTTGCAAGAGAGGCATTGAGTGGCAATCATGTTTGGTCTATAGACTACTTTTAGCATGCTTCTCCCACCCTGGGAGGGTCCTCACAACACCCTTCATTTGGTGCTCTCTTCTCCATCCGAGCACCTAGCACATGTGGCTGGCCTTCCAGTCACGGAGCAAAATTCCTGGTACTAATCTCAGCCATTCCTGGGTGTTAGTCTCCCTTTTTGTTGCTTTATGTTCCCCAGATGAATGCAATCTTTCTATGTCTATCCCGCTCTTTCTGACTCATTTCGCTTAACATGATACTTTCCATGTAGTACCACTTGTATGTAAATTTCATAACTTCATCTTTTCTAACAGCTACATAGTACTCCACTGTGTAAATGTACCAAAGTTTCTTTAACCAGTCATCTGCTCTTGGGTACTCAGGTTATTTCCAGATTCTGGCTATTGTAAAGAGTGCTGCAATGAACAAACAATTGCAGATGTCACTTTGACTATACCTTTTTGCCTCTCTGGGATATATTCCCAGGAGTGCTATAGCTGGGTCAAATGGCAGATCAAATTCTAATTTTTTGAGAGTCGTCCATACTGTTTTCCAAAAGGGTTGGACCAGCCGGCATTCCCACCAGCAGTGAAGGAGGGTCCCTTTCTCGCCACATCCACGCCAACACCTGTTGCTTTTGTTCTTGTGGATGTGGGCCAGTCTCTGTGGTGTGAAATGATATCTCATTGTGGTTTTGATCTGCATCTCTCTGATGGTTAGTGATGTAGAGCATTTTCTCATGTGCCTTTTTGCCATTCGGATTTCTTCTTTGCGAAAGTTTCTGTTCATTTCCTCGCCCCATTGTTTGATGGGGTTGGGTGATTTCTTCTTGTGGAGTTTAACCAGTACCTTGTATATCCTTGGTATCAACCCCAAAGGGGGGGATTTTGAGGGTCTGAGTCCTTTCCCTGGGCTGAGTGCATGCAGAGCAAACTGGCATGGGAGCTCAGGGCTCCCTCCCCAGCACAGCTGAAAGTCACCTGCAGTACCACAGGGAACAGCTCCAAAACCCAAACAAGCAAAAGCCAGACCTGGGGTTGATCCCCGGCACCCCGAGTACAGCCAGGAATGATCCCTGAACACAGAGCCCGTGTAAACCCTGAGCATTGCGGGTGTGGCCCCCCAAACCAAAACAACAAAAATAAATGAAAAGTTTGGTTTGCACCCCTAGCTCTTCAACCTAAAACGTTAAAGGGAACTTTCCATGGGGCAAAAATGCTGCTTCTGTTCTCGTGATTTCGTGACCATCTGAGGTTACGTTCAAAAGATCCCGCCTCTTGGGAGAAGGGGGTCGGGGACGGGCATCCAGGGGTGGCAGGGGCACGAACTCTGCCCCTCCCAGGGCATGTAGGGGGCACTAACTCTCTGCTCCTTCCAGTGGGTGGTGGGGCACTCGCTCCCTGCCCCTCCCGGGGCGAGACGGGGGCACCAACGCTGCCCCGTCCAGGGCGTGGCTCTGTGTGGCCACAGAAGCTTTGCCCTGTCACCCTGTGGGCAACCGGCAAAATCTCTCCCTGCAGGCCCTGGCCCTCGGCGGCCTCGCGATGCCCAACGCCACGGCCGCGCCGCCCTCCAACCACACCTGCCCCCGGAACCTGCTCATCACGCAGCAGCTCATCCCCGGCCTGTACCTGGTGGTTTTCACGGCCGGGCTGCTGCTCAACAGCGTGTCGGCCTGGGTCTTCCTGTCGGTGCCCAGCTCCAAGAGCTTCATCGTCTACCTCAAGAACATCGTGGTGGCCGACTTCGTCATGAGCCTCACCTTCCCCTTCAAGATCCTCAGCGACGCGCGCCTGGGCCCCTGGCAGCTGGGCGTGTTCGTGTGCCGCGTCTCGGCCGTGCTCTTCTACATCAACATGTACGTCAGCATCGTCTTCTTCGGCCTCATCGGCTTCGACCGCTACTACAAGATCGTCAAGCCGCTGTCCGCGTCCCTCGTGCAGTCGGTCAGCTACAGCAAGCTGCTGTCGGTGCTGGTGTGGCTGGCCACCCTCCTGCTGGCCGTGCCCAACAGCATCCTGACCAACCAGCGGGCGCCCGAGACCTGGCCCCCCAGCTGCGTGAAGCTCAAGAGCCCGCTGGGCCGGGCCTGGCACACGGCCAGCAGCTACATCTTCGTCATGGTCTTCTGGCTGGTCTTCCTCCTGCTCGTCGGGTTCTACACGGCCATCACTAGGAAGATCTTCAGGTCGCACCTCAAGTCCCAGAAGAACTCGCTGTCCTTCAAGAAGAAGTCCAGCCGCAACATCTTCAGCATCATGCTGGTCTTCGTGGTCTGCTTCGTGCCCTACCACGTGGCCCGGATCCCCTACACCCAGAGCCAGACCGACCCCAGCTACAGCTGCTGGGCCAGGGAGACCCTGCTCTACGTCAAGGAGTTCAGCCTGCTGCTGTCGGCCAGCAACGTGTGCCTGGACCCCGTCATCTACTTCTTCCTGTGCCAGCCGTTCAGAGACATCCTGTGCAAGAAACTGCACATCCCCGTGAAGGCGCCGCCTGGCGCGGAAACTTCCAGGACCAAAAGGGGACAGACCACCCACGAGAGCATCGGAACCCTGTGACTCCTGACAGTCGCCCCCCTCCCCGGCCCCCGCAGCCCTCACACAACGAGCCCCAAGTCCATGCCCACCACCTACACACCACACTCATGGGCCCGGGTCAGGTGACAAGAAATGAAAGTGTCGATTTCCAGGCTCTTGTTATTTTGTTTCCTGTTTGAAGAAATACATATATATATATATATATATATATATATATATATGTATATGTATATTCAATTTTATTCCATCCACATAGAAAGCTTAAATGCATTTGTGCTCATCTGGCCCATGAACGGAGAACTTAAAACAACAACGGCAGCAGGAAGCAATTCGGACCAGTCACAGCAGCATCTGCCTTTTCTCAACCTAAGAATTAAATAAGCTCTGAGATTGTTTTTTCCCCCCAGCAAGGTCCTTAAAGACCCATTTAAAAGCAGACCCAATGTTCAAAGGACCAAAGGCCTGTTTATGCTGAAAAAGTCACGTTTCATCCAGGATGAAGAGGGAGGAGGAGGAGGGGGAGAAGGAGGAGAAGAAGGAGGAGGAGAAGGAAGGAGGAGGAGGAGGAAGAGGAGAAGGAGAAGGAAGGAGGAGGAGGAGGAGGAGGAGGAGGAGGAGGAGGAGGAGGAGAAGGAGAAGGAAGGAAGGAGGAGGAGGAGGAGGAGGAGGACGATGAGGAGGAGGAGGAGATCACTCCAAGGCTGTCTGTCCTCCACACCAAAACCAATGGTGTCTGCAAACTTGGTCACACATCACGGCATGTTTCATTACACCACCAGGAAGTGCCGTGACCTCACACAAGACTGCTGGGCCCTGCACCAAGCCCCGCTCTGCACCCGTGTTTCACTTTCACCTAAAGGCAACAGGAACAATGGTGTTCCCAGGGAGTGGGGCACAGAGCACTAGCACCCTAAAAATATACTGCCAGGACACGACGCTCTGCTTAGCCAACGGCTCCCCACAAAGACCTGAGGACAGGAAGATGTTTCTTATGCCCCCCCATGACCCTATTTCCTTCAGGGCAACTGGGGGACGATGTCAGCTACATTTTAGATGTCTTAGAGGAGGATTTATCGAACCCGCCGAGGAGTCTGGGGTTGTGCTGCTGAACCTTTTCTAAGTGGAGGGGACGGAGGAGGCTGAGCTGTGACTGGCCAGAATTAATAGCGAGTGTCTCTGTTCAAGGCACGGGGAGAGACTCAGGACTCTGGGGAGGAGTGCAGGTGTCACACACATGCTCTCCTGGACAAATCTACACAGGTATACATGTGCTCATGCATGTACATACTGATACATGCACACATGCACATACTCACATGCACGTTCACGCCCACGGACACAGACACACACAGGCTGGGAAGAGCAATCAGGCTCTAGGGGTGAGCGATGCTTTCTTGGAAAGCAAACGGTCTAGATAGAAAATCTGAAACTCACGATAGTGAGGAATTACACATAAAAGCCCTCATCAGTCACACATCACATTCCCTATAAAACAGAAAATTTTAATTGTGTGAAGAAAATGGTGGAAGACTTGGGAGTTGGCATCACACAATCTTTTTCTCTGCCATTAACGGGCTAGAAGAAATTCAAGTCCCTTTTCACAAGTTCCTCTTAGGTATTTCTGTAACTTGTGTGTGTATATCTATATCTATCTATCTGCTTAACTGTATATGCACTAATAAATAAATTATTTTTAATATTTTTAAGTGTTTCATACTAATCAAATGTGAAGCCATTCGGCAAGATTTTTCTAAAACCCAACAGCACTTTGGTTGGCAGCGGGTGGGGGTCGGTCTCTGTGGTACCCTCAGCCACGCAAACAAGCAGGAGGAGGGCAGAGACACAGGGAATTTACAAGTTCCACCTGCCGCTGCCTTTCAAACTGCCTTTCGTGCGCTCTAGGGCAACATCAGATTGTAGGCAAGACTGAGTGCCCCCAGACGTGACCCCGAAACAAAAGCCAAAAGGAGGGTACAAAAGGAAAAAGAATCTCACCTTAAGTGGAGGAAAAACCCAACAGACTTCCATGACCCGCCCCTCCCCAACCCGGAAGAACTTCCTGCTCCCAACTCTGGGTCAAGCAGCCTCTCGAAAGCACCCCCACCCCCACCCGGGGCTCAGGACAAGCACAACCTGGCCGAACTGGTCTAAACACATCCACTAGAGAAGCCAGCCTGCCTATTCCGCATGAATCCCAATGACTAGGACAAACTAGCAAATACTCTGGGGTTACCAGTGCCCCCCCCACACACAGGCTGAGAGAATGAAAGTCAAAGAGAGGAGGCGTGTGGCTGAGTGACGCCACACTCACCCCTGCCCAGAAGTCCAGATCACCGCACCCCGACACCCCACCTCTACCACGGCCCGTGGTGGGCCAGCATTGGGGGAAAACCACAAGAGAGGCGACCCTCCCGCCCCCCACCCCCGCCACCCCGGGCAGGGACCATGGCTCAGAGAACCCGGCCATGCCCCAGCTGGCCAGGAACTCGTGCGGGGGCGGGGAAGGGATGGAGGGAGTGTGAGTCTGGGGTGGCCACTTTCGGGAACAGCCACCACTTCCTGTCAGTTACTCGCTCTCTGCCTGGAGGTCAACCGGCCAGCTGGGATGACCGTTTCAACCGCACGGCCCCACAGAGGCATCCCCGGCACCCCTGAGAGCACTGTAAGGGAGGAGAACCTCAGAGGGCCCCCAGAGTCAGGCGATGGCTTTCGTTTTAGCCAGGAACGAGCAGTGGAAGAGACGGTCCACAGACCGACGGGGTCTTCTCCGATGCCAACCCACTTCCTGGGGACCTCGAGAAGATGCTCCTTCCCTGCCCCTCTTAGAAGCTGGGGGCTCAGACTGCAGGGGTGCAGAGGCAGAGCCCCCTCCTGGAGAAACCTGGGAAAGCGTCCCCACCGCTCCTTGGCCAGAGCTGGGGGTGGGGGTCTCAGCCAGACTCCCCTCCGGAGCCCAACCCCTCTTCCTGGCCGGCCTCTGGCGTGGGGAGCTGCTCTGAGCCCACGCCCGTGCAAGAGCTGGCTCAGGCCCGACGCGTGGCCCGAGGACCCAGGCGTCTCCAAGGCGCCTGAGAGACCTGGGGGCAGTTCTGCAACGCGGCCTCTCTGCCCTCTGAGCGCCGGGAACTGGACGTGCATCTCTGGCAGCGTCCACTCGGCATCCGTTTCACGCCCGTTATCCAACTGACCTTCCGGTTCAGGAAAGCATGGTGCCAGGCAGGAAGGCGGGGGGGGGGGGGGGGGGGGGCGGGGGTCACGGCACGGTGTGTCTCGGATCAGGCTGGCCTTATGCAAACAGGTGACGAGACGGAGTGACATCCGGGTTTGGGTGTTGGGGTTTTTGGGGGGCGGGTGGGGGGAATAGGAAAACCACGTTTCCCCGGCTGCTGCTCAAATTCGGGCTGTCATCACACTCAGAACCACCCGGATGTGGCTGAGGAGACGCTGAGGGGATCCGACACTCCCACGAGAGGAACCAAGTAAAAATAGCGTCGCCGGGTGGCGCTGGGACGCTAAGAAGCCGCCAAGCCGAGGCCCCTGCTCCCTCCTGCGAGCACTGTGGGGGACCCCCACCCCCTACTTTGATATCTCCACTGTTCCCTGGCGCCAGCTCCCCCCCCCGACCCAGCTGACCTCCGAGGGATGCCAAACAGACCCCCCTCTGCCCGCTGCCCTGGGCACCCAGTACCTGTCCACGGATTTGCAAGTGCCCAATCAAGGGTCTCGGTGACGCCCGGCTGCATGGCCCCCACCACCCAAAGGGTGGGCTGTCCGGGGCTGGTCACTTGTCCCTTCCCAGAAGTCCCCCCCACTCGGGAAGGACTGCTGGAACCCGAAGCCCCAGCCATGCCCACTTGCACGCTGACCCCATCCCAACACGCAGAGACTCTCTAGAACCTTCTGCAGGAAGGAAATGTCCCAGGGCGGGGGTCAAAGGGGTGGCCTGGAGTTGGCAGGGCTTTTTTCCTTTATGCCTAGATTTCTTCAAGGAGCTACGGAGTAGAGAATTTCTTCAAAGAACCTTCCAGAAAAACCCAGAGCCCTGTGTCTAAGGAACTGGCTCTTCCCGGCACTGAAGCATGTCCAGCTTCAGTCTGAAAGGAAAGTTTACACAGAAAAACTGGCTAAAAAATATAAACGAATAAATAAATCCCTGAAGCACAGCTGGAGACTGTCAAACACGCAAAAGAATGCCCAGCTATTCGGGGCCCAGGGCAGAAAGCTCCACCCCTCACTGGTCTGGGGGCAGAAGAGGGTGGGACCCGGGAGGAAAGTGTCTCAGGCCCGAAGCTGGGGAGACAGACCTTATTTTCCACGTGACACCTCTAATACATCCACAGAGGCCACAAAGCTGTCTTTGTCAGGGCCAGCGGGTAGGGCTTGGGCCACACCCGAAGGAGCTCAGGGCTGACTCCTGGTTCTGCACTCAGGGATCACTCTGGGCAGGGATCTGGGAAGCCGAGGATAGAACTCGGCTCAGCCGGACTGTCGCTCCAGTCCTGGGAACGTGTTGCTTCTTTCTTTCTTTCTTTCTTTCTTTCTTTCTTTCTTTCTTTCTCTTTTCCTTTGGGTCCCACCCAGCGATGCTCAGGGGTTCCTCCTAGCTCTGCACTCAGGAACTACTTACTCCTGGCGGTACTCGGGGGACCATATGGGATGCCGGGGATTGAACCCGGGTGGGTCCCGTGCAAGGCAAACGCCCTCCCCGCTGTGCTATCACTCCAGCCCCATGTGTCCTTTTTTTTTGGCTTTTTGGGTCATACCTGGGGATGATGCACACGGTTACTCCTGGCTCTGCACTCAGGAATTATCCCTGGCGGTGCTCAGGGGACCATATGGGATGCTGGGGATCAAACCCGGGTTGGCCGCGTGCAAGGCAAACGCCCTACCCGCTGTGCTATTGCTCCAGCCCCAATGTGTCATTTCTTAAGCAGCATGTCCATGACCCCCATGGCTGTGATGGGGAAACACTGCACTGGGCCTCATTCTTCCCACTTGGGTTTCTGCAACTTGGGCCCTAC